TCCAGTGCATTTACATGCATAGGGATACACTTCTCTCCAGTGCATTTGCATACATAGGGATTTCTCAGCAAGGAAATATAGATGCACCAAGCACCCGACGTACAGATGCACTCCTGTTACTCCAAGGTAAGCTGCAACATCAGTGCAGCTGTACTCGCATCTATCTACGGGTACTTTTAACTATTCTGGTATACGTTGCTCCATGTGTGTGCATGCACAGATACATGCATACACTTTTTCATGGATTTACAGATATGCATGCAAGCGTACTTGTGTGTGCGCTGATAGTTTTGTGTCACGTCTGCATTCGCTTTGGGTGGTACATTTACGTGTATGGCCATTTGTTCTTGTGCAACTAGTTATGCAAAAATGCTTAACGGGTGACTAAGCAATGCGTAATTGAACTTAAATGCATATGACGGCGGTATGTTGTCACGGGGAGCCATGACTTCCCATGCAGACGAACGCCGCTCAACAACAGCAGTGAGACACTCAACCACTGCACAAACGAAAGTTTAATTTTGAGGAGTGCAAAGAGTACGCTACTTCAAAGACCCACTCAACCACAGAACAAGCCCTGTCAGACTGACACCTATAGAAATCTGTGGGAAGGGAAACATCTGCGAACGGATTGTTGCAGTACTCACCAAGCCCCATGTCAAGCTCAGCAGCTGACGCTTGCCCTCTTCTGCCGCTTTTCTGCAGAAACAGCCGACGTGACATTTTGTGCACCGACAAATATGAACTTAAACTTTATGGCAGCATATCTATGTGGAAAGGTAATGGGAGTGTCAGCAGAAGAGAACGTCAGGGGAAAGCGCAACCACGGAAACGCTCAACTCAGGCGTGTTATAGCCCTACTGCGACGCTTGTAATTCTGCCTTTAGGGAGGACTCGACCTCGCTCGCAGCTGAAGGAAAAGGCAGCAGAAGACCAAACAGGACACAAGCGGTACCCGCAGAGAGGAAATGATCTGAGAGTCCAATTAATCACGTCTAAGAAAAGCAGTGGATAGGTGCAAGAAAAAACGTATGTAGGCATGAACGAGGCAAAGGGATTCAAAACCAAACAATTGAGTCAAACAATACTGATGCATTTTTGCAGGGGAGTGAAACATGTTGTCAACTGCATGGCGTCTCACCTTCCAGCTTGCCCACTAGTCCCTCACTCCGCTGTCGCTCATCCCTTATACGGCTTCGCGCGTTGCTTAGGAGTGTTGTGAGCTCGGCGATGGTCTTTTCCTGCTCCATGGCTTTCTTTTCCGAGTCTTTCTGCTCCTCTAATAGTCGCTGCCGCTCACGCTCATGCTGTTCCACCTCCATGCGATAGTTGCGAATTTGTTTGCGGTGGAGCTTTTGTTCTTCTTCGGCGCTCCTACGTGATTCCTCTAGCTGCAGAACTTGCTGCTGCAGCCTCGCTATCTCGGCCGCGGAAGCACGGGACTCTGCATCTCGTTGTTGCTGCATCTGTTGCAGCGCCTGCTGCTGTTGGTGCTGCTGCACTTCAGTGGCGCTGGAAAAGCACAACGAAATTTGGCAGAAACACAAGCATGTGCTGTTTTCCCGGGGTACAGCAAATACCTTGTCCTACAGTGCCGGAGGCATCTAGTCTCAGCTGATAGTTCGTTTAGGTTAATTCGAATTGAACACTGCTAATTTAAGGTTTCCAGGCTTTCACTGGTTGCAGGCTGATAAGGGGCCTTGTAGGCTCTCACGCGAGTCGCTGAGTTGCTTCATTGAGCTGTGCCGTCAGTTGGTGCCTGCCTCACAGTAAGGAAAAAAGGAAACAAGAATGCGCTTAGCTTGCGGTTGCCTTTCTCATTGGGAATCCGCATGATAGAGACTTAAAGCAGCTCGCTTGCAGCGGGAAACTGACAGACTAACATGTGAGCTTGAAGGGCCTGGATATGTTGCTGTTGCTGCAGTATAGCTTGCTGCTGCTCCTGAACCTGCGCTTGCAGCAGTTTGTTTTGTTGTTGCAGCGCAGCGTTCTCGTTTTTCGTTGATTTTAAAGATCCGTCAAGATCCTGACCATGCTGCAGAGACCACACCCAAAGCCAGCCCTAGTTTGTCTGTGTCAAGCCTGCTCCCATTCCAACGCAATATGCATCACGAGGTGCTGCGCTGCTCACACATTTGGTTCCTAATCTGCCAACTATAGCTGTGAAGGGGCCAGCTCTCGGCTTACCGCCCTCGAGGCCTCAGCTCGCCTTTGTGCCTTCTTGTCTCCGGCAGGTGCCGCAGTGTTCCCGGAAAGATCGGCGTGCGCCACCGACAGCGCGGCAGCCATGGGTTTTACTGGTTCTGCTGCGATTGAGAAGGAGAGGTATCCGCATGCAATGCTGTATTCTGTTGCGTTTTCTTCTTTGGAAAACAGATTTACGTGATGGATGCTGAAAACCCCGTCTGAAGACAAAAAGGGGAACACCGCGCAACCGTAATCTGACCAGCACCGCGCACTTCCATCTGGGTTAGTCAGTCAGCCATTACAGTAACGACTTCAGAAACACCCTCAGTGTAAAACAGCAGTCCAACAAGTTGCTGGATGGGCAAAGGAAGTGATAAAAGAAGCATGCGCAACAGCAAGTATGTGGTCATCATGGGCAGCCTCAGGATCATCAGCAATGCAGCAACAACAGCAGCAGCATCCCTCAGGAGAGTTGTGCAGAGGCGAACATGTCAGAGAGCTGAGGAGAAATTGAGCTGTGAAGGTCGGCCATG